ATGTCACACATGTCACCCCGTGTCACACGTGTCACCCCATGTCACACATGTTACCCCGTGTCACATGTGTCACACGTGTCACACCATGTCACACATGTCACCTCCATGTCACACATGTCACCCCGTGTCACACGTGTCACCCCATGTCACACATGTTACCCCGTGTCACATGTGTCACACGTGTCACACCATGTCACACATGTCACCTCCATGTCACACATGTCACCCCGTGTCACACGTGTCACCCCATGTCACACATGTTACCCCGTGTCACATGTGTCACACGTGTCACACCATGTCACACATGTCACCTCCATGTCACACATGTCACCCCGTGTCACACGTGTCACCCCATGTCACACATGTTACCCCGTGTCACATGTGTCACACGTGTCACACCATGTCACACATGTCACCTCCATGTCACACATGTCACCCCGTGTCACACGTGTCACCCCATGTCACACATGTTACCCCGTGTCACATGTGTCACACGTGTCACACCATGTCACACATGTCACCTCCATGTCACACATGTCACCCCGTGTCACACGTGTCACCCCATGTCACACATGTTACCCCGTGTCACATGTGTCACACGTGTCACACCATGTCACACATGTCACCTCCATGTCACACATGTCACCCCGTGTCACACGTGTCACCCCATGTCACACATGTTACCCCGTGTCACATGTGTCACACGTGTCACACCATGTCACACATGTCACCTCCATGTCACACATGTCACCCCGTGTCACACGTGTCACCCCATGTCACACATGTTACCCCGTGTCACATGTGTCACACGTGTCACACCATGTCACACATGTCACCTCCATGTCACACATGTCACCCCGTGTCACACGTGTCACCCCATGTCACACATGTTACCCCGTGTCACATGTGTCACACGTGTCACACCATGTCACACATGTCACCTCCATGTCACACATGTCACCCCGTGTCACACGTGTCACCCCATGTCACACATGTTACCCCGTGTCACATGTGTCACACGTGTCACACCATGTCACACATGTCACCTCCATGTCACACATGTCACCCCGTGTCACACGTGTCACCCCATGTCACACATGTTACCCCGTGTCACATGTGTCACACGTGTCACACCATGTCACACATGTCACCTCCATGTCACACATGTCACCCCGTGTCACACGTGTCACCCCATGTCACACATGTTACCCCGTGTCACATGTGTCACACGTGTCACACCATGTCACACATGTCACCTCCATGTCACACATGTCACCCCGTGTCACACGTGTCACCCCATGTCACACATGTTACCCCGTGTCACATGTGTCACACGTGTCACACCATGTCACACATGTCACCTCCATGTCACACATGTCACCCCGTGTCACACGTGTCACCCCATGTCACACATGTTACCCCGTGTCACATGTGTCACACGTGTCACACCATGTCACACATGTCACCTCCATGTCACACATGTCACCCCGTGTCACACGTGTCACCCCATGTCACACATGTTACCCCGTGTCACATGTGTCACACGTGTCACACCATGTCACACATGTCACCTCCATGTCACACATGTCACCCCGTGTCACACGTGTCACCCCATGTCACACATGTTACCCCGTGTCACATGTGTCACACGTGTCACACCATGTCACACATGTCACCTCCATGTCACACATGTCACCCCGTGTCACACGTGTCACCCCATGTCACACATGTTACCCCGTGTCACATGTGTCACACGTGTCACACCATGTCACACATGTCACCTCCATGTCACACATGTCACCCCGTGTCACACGTGTCACCCCATGTCACACATGTTACCCCGTGTCACATGTGTCACACGTGTCACACCATGTCACACATGTCACCTCCATGTCACACATGTCACCCCGTGTCACACGTGTCACCCCATGTCACACATGTTACCCCGTGTCACATGTGTCACACGTGTCACACCATGTCACACATGTCACCTCCATGTCACACATGTCACCCCGTGTCACACGTGTCACCCCATGTCACACATGTTACCCCGTGTCACATGTGTCACACGTGTCACACCATGTCACACATGTCACCTCCATGTCACACATGTCACCCCGTGTCACACGTGTCACCCCATGTCACACATGTTACCCCGTGTCACATGTGTCACACGTGTCACACCATGTCACACATGTCACCTCCATGTCACACATGTCACCCCGTGTCACACGTGTCACCCCATGTCACACATGTTACCCCGTGTCACATGTGTCACACGTGTCACACCATGTCACACATGTCACCTCCATGTCACACATGTCACCCCGTGTCACACGTGTCACCCCATGTCACACATGTTACCCCGTGTCACATGTGTCACACGTGTCACACCATGTCACACATGTCACCTCCATGTCACACATGTCACCCCGTGTCACACGTGTCACCCCATGTCACACATGTTACCCCGTGTCACATGTGTCACACGTGTCACACCATGTCACACATGTCACCTCCATGTCACACATGTCACCCCGTGTCACACGTGTCACCCCATGTCACACATGTTACCCCGTGTCACATGTGTCACACGTGTCACACCATGTCACACATGTCACCTCCATGTCACACATGTCACCCCGTGTCACACGTGTCACCCCATGTCACACATGTTACCCCGTGTCACATGTGTCACACGTGTCACACCATGTCACACATGTCACCTCCATGTCACACATGTCACCCCGTGTCACACGTGTCACCCCATGTCACACATGTTACCCCGTGTCACATGTGTCACACGTGTCACACCATGTCACACATGTCACCTCCATGTCACACATGTCACCCCGTGTCACACGTGTCACCCCATGTCACACATGTTACCCCGTGTCACATGTGTCACACGTGTCACACCATGTCACACATGTCACCTCCATGTCACACATGTCACCCCGTGTCACACGTGTCACCCCATGTCACACATGTTACCCCGTGTCACATGTGTCACACGTGTCACACCATGTCACACATGTCACCTCCATGTCACACATGTCACCCCGTGTCACACGTGTCACCCCATGTCACACATGTTACCCCGTGTCACATGTGTCACACGTGTCACACCATGTCACACATGTCACCTCCATGTCACACATGTCACCCCGTGTCACACGTGTCACCCCATGTCACACATGTTACCCCGTGTCACATGTGTCACACGTGTCACACCATGTCACACATGTCACCTCCATGTCACACATGTCACCCCGTGTCACACGTGTCACCCCATGTCACACATGTTACCCCGTGTCACATGTGTCACACGTGTCACACCATGTCACACATGTCACCTCCATGTCACACATGTCACCCCGTGTCACACGTGTCACCCCATGTCACACATGTTACCCCGTGTCACATGTGTCACACGTGTCACACCATGTCACACATGTCACCTCCATGTCACACATGTCACCCCGTGTCACACGTGTCACCCCATGTCACACATGTTACCCCGTGTCACATGTGTCACACGTGTCACACCATGTCACACATGTCACCTCCATGTCACACATGTCACCCCGTGTCACACGTGTCACCCCATGTCACACATGTTACCCCGTGTCACATGTGTCACACGTGTCACACCATGTCACACATGTCACCTCCATGTCACACATGTCACCCCGTGTCACACGTGTCACCCCATGTCACACATGTTACCCCGTGTCACATGTGTCACACGTGTCACACCATGTCACACATGTCACCTCCATGTCACACATGTCACCCCGTGTCACACGTGTCACCCCATGTCACACATGTTACCCCGTGTCACATGTGTCACACGTGTCACACCATGTCACACATGTCACCTCCATGTCACACATGTCACCCCGTGTCACACGTGTCACCCCATGTCACACATGTTACCCCGTGTCACATGTGTCACACGTGTCACACCATGTCACACATGTCACCTCCATGTCACACATGTCACCCCGTGTCACACGTGTCACCCCATGTCACACATGTTACCCCGTGTCACATGTGTCACACGTGTCACACCATGTCACACATGTCACCTCCATGTCACACATGTCACCCCGTGTCACACGTGTCACCCCATGTCACACATGTTACCCCGTGTCACATGTGTCACACGTGTCACACCATGTCACACATGTCACCTCCATGTCACACATGTCACCCCGTGTCACACGTGTCACCCCATGTCACACATGTTACCCCGTGTCACATGTGTCACACGTGTCACACCATGTCACACATGTCACCTCCATGTCACACATGTCACCCCGTGTCACACGTGTCACCCCATGTCACACATGTTACCCCGTGTCACATGTGTCACACGTGTCACACCATGTCACACATGTCACCTCCATGTCACACATGTCACCCCGTGTCACACGTGTCACCCCATGTCACACATGTTACCCCGTGTCACATGTGTCACACGTGTCACACCATGTCACACATGTCACCTCCATGTCACACATGTCACCCCGTGTCACACGTGTCACCCCATGTCACACATGTTACCCCGTGTCACATGTGTCACACGTGTCACACCATGTCACACATGTCACCTCCATGTCACACATGTCACCCCGTGTCACACGTGTCACCCCATGTCACACATGTTACCCCGTGTCACATGTGTCACACGTGTCACACCATGTCACACATGTCACCTCCATGTCACACATGTCACCCCGTGTCACACGTGTCACCCCATGTCACACATGTTACCCCGTGTCACATGTGTCACACGTGTCACACCATGTCACACATGTCACCTCCATGTCACACATGTCACCCCGTGTCACACGTGTCACCCCATGTCACACATGTTACCCCGTGTCACATGTGTCACACGTGTCACACCATGTCACACATGTCACCTCCATGTCACACATCCACCCCTGACCCCCCCCCCGCCCCTCGCGCCGCCGCCGGCGCCGCCGGGAACCATGGGCAGCATCTACAAGGAATATTTCAACACGGAGAAGATCAGGGAACACTACAACTACACCAAAGAAGGCACGGAAAGTCCTCCCACCACCTCCCACAGGGTGGTCTCCATCCTCATCATCATCCTCTGCTGCTTCATCGTCTTGGAGAACCTCTTGGTCCTCATCTCCGTGTGTCGCAACAAGAAGTTCCACTCGGCCATGTACATTTTTATTGGCAATTTGGCCTTTTCGGACCTTCTGGCCGGGTTGGCCTTCATGGCCAACATCTTGTTGTCAGGTTCTACCACTTTTAACTTGACCCCAGTGCAATGGTTCGTCCGGGAGGGAACGGCTTTTGCTACGTTGGCAGCTTCGGTCTTCAGCTTGTTGGCCATCGCCATCGAACGCCACGTGGCCATCACCAAGGTCAAGGTCTACAGCAGTGACAAGAACTGCAGGATGGTCTTGTTGATCGGGGCCTGTTGGGTCATCGCCGCCGCCATCGGGAGCCTCCCCATCATGGGGTGGAACTGCATGAGCGACCTCCAGGATTGCTCCACCGTCCTCCCCCTCTACTCCAAACGTTACGTCCTCTTCGTCACCACCATCTTCACCCTCATCCTCTTGGCCATCGTGGGGCTCTACACCAGGATCTACTGCATCGTCCGCTCCAGCCACGCCGAAATTGCCACCACCCAAACCTTGGCCTTGCTCAAGACCGTCACCATCGTCTTGGGTGCCTTCATCTTCTGTTGGTTCCCTGCCTTCATCATCCTCCTGATGGACGCGTCGTGTCCAGTCCGGTCTTGTCGGATCCTCTACAAAGCCAACTACTTCTTTGCTTTTGCCACCCTCAACTCGGCGGCCAATCCCATCATCTACACCTTGAGGAGCAAGGACATGAGGAGGGAGTTTCTCCGGGTGCTTTGTTGTTGCGGGGCCGGACGGCGGGATCGACCCGCGGGACGTTGCGGGATCCCCCTTCGTACTTCCAGCTCCTTGGAGCGTTGCAGCCCCAAGTGTGAGCTCCCCACCTCCCCCATCACCCGGGATTGCACCACGTCTGTCTAGGAGGGGTGTCCCCCCCCGGGGGGGTCACCTCGAGCCCATCGTGGTCGCCACGTGGCCAACTGGTGGCCAAGGCGTGGGCGACTCGGCGGGCGACGCGTGGTTGCCCCATGGGCACCTCCGTGGTGACCCCATAGTCACCTCTAGGGTGACCCCATGGGCAGTTCCATGGTCAAGCCATGGTCAAGCCATGGTTGCCCCATGGGCACCTCCATGGTCGACCCATGGTCACTTCCATGGTCGCCCCATGGTCATCTCCATGGTTGCCCCATGGTCACCCCCATGGTGACCCCATGGTCGCCCCATGGGCATCTCCATGGTCAACCCATGGTCACCTCCATGGTCAACCCATTGTTGCACCATGGTCACCTCCATGGTGACCCCCCATGGTTGCCCCATGGTCACCTCCATGGTGACCCCATGGTCACCTCCATGGTCAACCCATGGTCGCCCCATGGGCACCTCCATGGTGACCCCCCATGGTTGCCCCATGGTCACCCCCATGGCCACTACATGGATCCCCCCCATGGTCACCCCCACGGTGACCTCAATGGTCACCCCCATGGTCACCTCCATGGTGAACCCATGGTTGCCCCATGGTGACCTCCACGGCCACCATGTGGTCACCCTCACCACCAGCCCATGGCCACCTCCATGGCCACCCCCTGGTGATCTTTATGGCCTCCCAATGGCCACCCCATGGTCACCCCCATGACCACCCCCGTGGTGACCCCACAGGCACCTCATGGTCACCCCCATGGCCACCCCTATGGTCACCCCCATGACCACCCTCACGGTCACCCCATGGTCACTTCCATCACCACTCCATGGCCACCTCATGGTCACCCCATGGCTGCCCCATGATGACCTCATGACCACCTCATGGTCACTTCCAAGGTGACCCCTTGGTGATCTCTATGACCACCCTCTTGTCACCCCCAAGGTGACCCCACGGCCACCCCATGCCCACCCCATGGTCACCCCCATGACCACCCTCTTG